CCAGGAGACATAAACCTAGTTTGAGAGGAGGAAAGTGTCATGATTTATATTTACATGTGTTTAGATGAGGCCGTTTTTTTGTAGTCATAGCGACATTCACTGATGACCCCTGGATAATCCACACCTGCTCGTAACTTGTCATGATCAGGTTCATTCGTATGTTAGGGAATTAGTAAATGGAACAACTGGCTGGTATAATGGTCGACTATGGAAGTTGGTTAAGTCAACGAGGCGCCGATAAATATGAGAGTTACGTCCCGACATCGGGGGCAATTAATCTAACATTACGGCGTGTTGACTACTTTGCGTGATTGGCTATATGTGTAGAGGCTATATGTGCATGGCCTATGCCTCGAGCTCTTAAACTTTTCTGTAATTGGCTAACAGTTAAGAAGTGAATAAAGCTGATCTCAGTTGTGTCAAGCTCACAACAAGGCACACATGTCTTGAAGCGGTCTTAAGAGAGATCCGATGTGGCGCTGAGATGAGAGGTTGAAACGATTCGATTCTCTGTGTGTCTTTGTTCGATAGAAAGGTGGAGAATTCCCCGAACTTGGTACCTCTGACGTGAGGGTTAATAACACTCAAATTAGTCTCTCACACAAAGACCGAAAATTGCTCTGAGCAGGCAAGAGTAGTCTCAAAAATCGGACAAGTTACTTCAGAAAACTTGTTGTCGATTGAAAAGGCTAAAAATTTGTTATGAAAATTAGAATAGTTGTTTGAGGAGGTGGAAATGTTTTCTGATAATTACACAAACTAGTAGAAAGGATAGGAAACTTTTGAAAAAAAGTCCAAAAGAACGTTTTGTAGTACAGAAAGTAGGAAAAGACGTTTGAAATGTCCGAAAAGTAATTAAAATGGTCTGCACATTCGAGAACTTTGTACTAAAAGGTTGTGTAAAAAGTTCAAAATGTGGCTTGGGAGGCAGGAAAGATCAGTTGTTTAGAAAGTCGGAAAAGAAATTTTGAGAATTACATAAAGTCATTTGCGAGTGAGGAAAGTTGTTCACCTCATTCTGTAACCCTGATAATGGATAGGGGAGTATGATAGGAGCCCACTTCATAAACCTAAAAGTCAAAAAGGTGAGTAGAACCCATGGGAAACGAAACATCACATGGACATGCCCTCAAGGGGAAGCTATTTCACTTCATGGATGAGGCCCAGAACGAGTAGAGTTCCGGGTCGCTGTTACACCTCACAAACCGGTGCATGTCTCCATCGCTAAGCCAACAGGTAGAAGAGATGTTGCAGCGAGGAGGGAGTCGATTTAGAAGCCAGCAGGCGTGAAACACAGTGTGGCATATGCTACACCGTGGGAGCGCCTGCGCTTAGACACTAGCAAACCCCAAGAGACTCTGTGAGGCCGTGGTTTCTACCTCTTGTGTCGCGTCAGGTTGCAAAAGCAAATACAAACCACGCAGAGCTATTCACGTGTCTGGCGATATTATACACTTGGAGACTATCCATGCGTCAATAGACAACAAAGAAAGGGTTTTCTAGCCGAAGAATTCCATCCTGTACATTGGGACGGACCAATAGATTTTGAAACAGTTACCCATTTTTTTTTGTAACACACACACAGTGGATTATCTTTTTTTTTAAATTTTCGTCAAATGTGTGCATTAATTTTTGTTCTCTGTTGAATGCAATCAACTTTGAAGTAATCCTGTTGCACATGTAGGGCTAATCTTGTTGCATTGTTCGGGAGAATCTTAACAATTATCCCAAAGTACAGTTTTCTGGGAGTTTTCGGCTTTTGTTTTCACCGTGATGGTTGCCAGGCGGTGAAACTCCCGCCCGAAGATAGGTACCAGCTTGGTTTCACCGATCGTTATACATTTTGGGTCCTGACTCCTGAAGTCCTGACTGCTTCTTTATTTTGCATACCTCTTTTATGTGTATTGTCGGAATTTCAAACGACACGTGGCATTTATTCCACTTCCCCAAAATTCAAAACTATAAAACTGTGTAAAACTATATATAATTTGATGATTAGTAAGCACATGATTTAATCCTAAGCTTAATAGTTGCGTTCACACACAGCTCCTTAGCACGGGCTAAGAGGTCAAATTCCTTAGTCCGTGCTAAGCAAACGTGCGTGAACGCTTAGCACGGGCTAAGGAATGCTAAGTACGGGTTAAATCTGATCCGAATTTAAGACCCTTAGCACGGGCTAACTAAGTGTGCGCGAACGCTTAGCCCCGGGCTAAGCGCCCTCTGCAGCGACATTTGGGTGTGAACATTATGCACGTGATCAAATATATCCAATTTTCTCATTCCCAAAATGGCAACCGAGCTCAGTGTACACGCTTCCACACAGATCGGGCCTGTAGTAGAGCGTACAGCAGCTCCAATCGTAGACAAAATAAAATTGGTTTGCTGTCTACGACATGCATTAATAAAACTCTGTATTCTGTTACGCCTTTGTATACTGTTTCTGTGCATCCAAATCAGCTGGGACCGTCTTCTCTCGCGTTCCTGTGCATGTCGCTTCAAAATTAGAACGAAACATGTCAGCAGCAGAGATAGAACCTCGCGCGTGTCATCCATTTTTCGTTCGTAAATAGCAGCTTGCCAAAGGTCACAAACTGATGGCGCCCCTTAGCCCGTGTTAACGACTGGCCCTCCCTGTGCATAGACGCAATTGGGTCTAGCCAAAATGCAAATATGCTAGATAAGCCTAAATCAGCTTAAATCTTAGCCCTTACTTTGTGTAACGTGAACACAACTACTGCATATAACATGCGACTCAAGTAAGTTGTTACAATAGACAAATTAGTTATATTACATAAATGCATACTACAGTCCAGTCTAGGCATGACTACAGTAAAGTCTAGGCATAAGTACAGTCCAGTCTAGGCATAGCTACATCCAGTCTTGGCATAGCTACAGTCCAGTCTAGGCATAGCTACAGTCCAGTCTAGGCATGACTACAGTCCAGTCTTGTCTTAGCATAGCTACAGTCCAGTCTAGGCATAACTACAGTCCAGTCTAGGCATAACTACAGTCCAGTCTGGGCATAGCTACAGTCCAGTCTGGGCATAGCTACAGTCCAGTCTAGGCAAAAGTACAGTCCAGTCTAGGCATAGCTACAGTCCAGTCTAGGCACGACTACAGTCCAGTCGTGTCTTAGCATAGCTACAGTCCAGTCTAGGCATAGCTACAGTCCAGTCTAGGCATAACTA